TATCGATGCTGACATATCTGAAACTCTTCTGCAGAATAGATACAAAAGATACCAGCTGTGTGTTCTCACTCAATCTCTCCGACAGCGAGTTGACACACAAACCCTTTACTCACTTCGTTTTACTTGCTCCGGATGAAAATTGTTGGTGAATTCTGGCGAGGGATTGCACATACTGTATTGAACACAATTTTACTCATTCCCACAGATTTTGCGCTCACACCCTAAGTGCGTGCACATAGAGTATATTGGCTATATAAAACAGTATATGTGGGTCCGTGCGTCAGGTCTTAAAGTGACAGTAGCCTATTATACCGGCTGCCAGATTATGAGACGCTATTAAACATATCTATGTGGTCGTTATTTCCCTATGGTATCCATCTTCCAAACTGTGGCCAGTGAAAATGCTGAGTGGCTAACTTTGGAAAACCACTAGCCACAATGGCTTGTAAACAAAAAAAAAAGTTAATGTCAAGCCCTACATACAGCATATGTTAAATCAGGCTCCCAAATTTATGGGATGATCCCTTTGGAAAGGACCCCTTTCCTACAACATAAAGGCAGCTATATTTTCAAGAATGAAGACTCATTTATATAGTATGGGAGAAATTAATAAGTGTGATTGTATAAAGCCAACATGGAAGTTATTGGCTTTTATATTGTAATTGCACTAAAGTAAAAACAAATTTACTTTTAAATATTTACTTTGTATTAAGATGAAACGGTATGTTTTGAAACTACAGTAATGTTCTAAACAGTTTTACAGAGAATATTACCTTAGAGCCACCATTGAGAAAGGTACAAGTTTGAAATTGATCGTGAAGAAACAGTCTATAGCCTATGGACCTTTCTCACAATAACCGCAAATACGTAATTGTTGTGGTTGTTCCTGTCAACCATCAACACATCAGAAAAACCAGCCCGTTCTCATCCTTTAGCGTCACATAGAACGCTTTATGACAAAACGGCGCTATATTACGCACATGGCACCCTTTATCGTTAGTATTCACGCGAACCCAAGGTGTCATAAATCCTTTAGCGTAATATGAGACTACACACACCTAAACCTAACTATCACAGCGCGTGTTATATTAACGATAGCGGGTGCCATGTGCGTAGTATAGCGCCGTTTGGTCATATAGCGTTCTATATGACGCTAATGGATGAGAATGCATTGGAAAAACACACCCGGGGAAAAGAAAATTGATTAGAGAGTCTTCACAACTTCGAAAAAATTCAAACTTGTCATGGTCCAGTTGTTGATGACTTTGTAAAATGGTGTGGTGATACTTGTCTGCAGCTGAATGTATCCAAGACCAAAGATATGACTATTGATTTCAGAACTGAAGCTCATTCTTCCCAATATACATCCATTAAAGGTGAGAAGGTGGAGTGTGTGGAAAGTTATTAATATTTAGAGACTATAATTTACAATAAACTGCGTTTTGATGTGAATACCAAAAAAGAAGTCTGTCAGTTTTATCCAACAGTTATGCTCTTAGGTAGTGACCTTTTTTGCACTGCTCTTGCTATAGAACGATCAAAGATGAAGAACAGTTTATACAAATATTAATTTATCCCTTGTACACTCAGATTGTTAAATACTCAGAATGGTATATATTCATATTTTAAATTTATATGTAGCCTACTGTTGTGTGTTCTTATTTATCTTGTTTTATATTATGGTGTAATTAATTATGGTGGAACTACTTAATACACAAATCATAATACATAAATAATAAACATAAACAATGGCGGGTTAGTAAATGGTGACTAGTAGAAAAGATCACAGGATCAATAACATCCCTCCGGATAGCCTGAATCCTTTCCCAACTTCATCAACGGGGAACTTAGGGTAGGAATGAAAAGACAAAAACAGACTGGTATGCAACTACTCTTACTAGCTGCTTGCGCTATTTCTTCTGCCCTGGGGTGCGTTTCCCAAAAGCATCGTTAGCCAACTATGGTCGCAAGTTCCGTCGTTATCCGCATGGTTGAACAAGTTGGTTACCCGAAACCATCGTTCCAACGAACATTCGCAAACAGCATCGCAAAGTTGTGTAGTTTGAACGACAGCTTTCGACCAATGGTTAGAGGGATCGTTTCTATATTGCATGACATTTGGAGGTAATAAATCCTTATCTTGAGCAAAATAAGCAAGCTGACATTCAGTACAATCGGTGTATTTTATTTAGAATAAATACAAATGGAATTTGTCTTTTAGTTTGTCAAAATATTTAAAGTAACGTGTTTGAAGAGTGCGCATGTGCGAACGTGCTCTACTATGCAAGAACGAGCCAAATATTGAGTCTGGTAATAAAGCAAAATAACTGAGAACAATTAGAAATAGTCGTCAGATTACATGTTTGTAATTTATATAAAAAAAAAAAAATCGAGCGTTAAAAGTAGTTATTATTTCACCACGTGCGAAACCAGCGTTGTTGAACGATACTTTGCGACAGTGGGTTTCGGGAAACAGCTAGTTGAGTCGTGACTAGCTAGTTGATTTCTCCAACGATGCATCGTACTATGGTAATGAAGCAGCGAGCTACATCGTTGTACGGGAAACGTACCCCAGAGTGGAAGAAGATTACCACGACAATTGCGTATTTCCAGTCACAAAGTTCTATATGTACTTACTCTGCTGCGAAGTTGACTTGTAAGGTTCTGGTTTAATGTTTAGGCGTCTATATAGGCTAAATCCTGCTCCTGGGCCACCACCTGCACATTGTAGCTCCAACCAGCTTCAACACTTCAAGTTTCTAGTGACCCTGAAGACACTAGTTGTCCTAAAGTAGTCACATGTACTTATGCACTATGTACCGTGTAGGGTGTGAATTTTATACAGTTAATTTGTCATTTAACATCGGAGCCCCTCCCCGTCTGTATCATCCGGGTATTTAAATTTTACTTTTTATATTTGAAAAAAAAAAAAAGGTTAATTTTCATTATTAAATTTAGGTGGTTAGAGCTGGAATTTTAAAGTAAAATAAAATGGTGTAGTAAGATTACATTTATTTGCGAGCAGTATGTGTTTGGGTGATCATCTCTTGAGTGACTGGTAGCAGTTTGCAAAACCCTGATGGGCATCACCAAACACGATTAATCGCATTACCTAACCATTTACTAGTTACTTCCTTTGAAGCATGGTCCTAAGAAAGAGAATTCGGTTAAACTGACAAAAATAAAATGAATGAATATATTTTGACAAAGCATCTCCATTTCTCTTTCAATAAATAATAAGTTAGAACTAGATGTCAAGTAAGAATAAATAAGAGCAAATAGAGTGAAAGTGAGCAAGTAATATGAATGTGTGAGGTAAGATAAAATAAACATTCAGTTTTTATTCAGACAAATAGAGTCAGAAATTGTAAATCCCTACAGAGAAGCGGCATTAACAATTCATAAAGGTTAAAATAACTGTTTATTCCGAAGATTTCAATGAGGGATGCAAAGAAACTCCCTGCTGTATTGCCATCTGAAGCAATTAAATCACATACCCACTAAGTAAAGCAGTGAACACACTTATAAGCCACTTACACTCACTCATGATCTTTAACACACACATACGCGCACACACATTACTATGAAACCAAGTCATCAAGTTGCTGTTACCTTAAATGAGCTGTTATGACTTTATAAAAATTCAAGGTTTCATTTTAAATATGAGCATGTTTTGTGGTAACCAGACTTTGAAAATGTTCTCCCTCTCTCTCTCATACACAAACAATAAAATCATAAAAAAACAAGCTATAAGCTTAAACAAACAATCATAGGACAAGAACGCAGATTATTAATTACCACAAATGTATTATTCATACATACACACACAAACAACACAAACAGCTACACACTTTCAAAGTATTTTCATGAATTTTTCATTGTGCACAGAATAAGGACAGCTGTGTGATTATGTGTACCTTTCCATCACCACGGCCTGCTATTGGATAAAAATGAGAAGTATATTTCCAGAATATCCTTTCTGGTTTGCAGTGTTTTGCAAAGATGTTCAGACCCTTAATCAATGCTCTAATTGCACTATTCTAAATCCAATTTATTTCATGCGTTTTATTTGAAAGCACAGATTGGTATTATTTGAATAACAATAATTAAAAAAAATGTATGCAGAGAAATGAATAGTATGTTATTACTAATATACAAAAGAACATGTAAAGTACTTGATCATAAGTTTAACTTTAGTGTGTTAATATTACATTTAAAGTATCCTAAATGTACTAAATTCAGCTTCATTAATGAAAATGTGTAATTACATGACAAGTTTCAATAGAAATTGCATTAATGTATATTTTAGTTTACATAATTGCTTGTCAGTAAATAAAGCAGACAATAGATATAATTCTGAAATGACATATAAAGATGTACTTTCAGTCGTAACTGCATTTAATATAAAGTTAAACTACAATACATTTTCATTTATTTGCAATGCAATTAAGTGTTTGAAAACATTAAACTATACTTAAATGTGAAGTGAACGTAAATTATATTAGTATGCTGATGTGTACTTAATTTTTACAAGGATGAGTGGTGACCCTTCACAAGATCTGAACCCTTTTCTAGATGTGTTAAACACAAATGCTTGAATATCGTTTTCTACCATGTACTTTTTCATATTAAATTATTCAACAGCTCTGTTTTTTTTTTGTTTGTTTTTGGACTACAGATTCACAACTTGAACAATAATCCATGTGTGTTTTTATCCAGAAAATATCATTTATTTAAGTTATACACAGGTAGAAGCCAATAGTAAGGCCATTTTGTCCTCTAAATAACATTTCATCCGGTCAAACAAATAGTGCATGCCATTTTAAAATAATTCAATATGTGTTTCAGTGTTGTAAAATACACATATCACAGACAACATAATTACATAAATTCATTAAAATTAGAGAATTGATTATGGGCCTGAATGCTTTTCTAAGTAAGCTTTTCATGGATCTGTTTTTGTTTGTACTACTGTTATTTAAAAAAGATTTAACCCTTACCTTATGAGGAACAGAAGGCCCACCGCCAAAGGGTGCCAAGCTGGCAGGAGGATCAGTGATGTAGGTTTTTTTCGGAGGAGCAGGCTGGTACCCTTGGGTGGATGGAGGAGGGGCGTGGTGAGTCGGTTCAGCTCTCCATGTGTTCTGACCCCCATAACCAGGAGCTCCACCATAGTGCTGGTCATGATAGCCTCCAGATGGAGCAGGGCAGAATCCCGGCTGAGGAGGCCCGTATGCAAAGTCAGGGCCTCTGGGTTGAGCCGGCATGTACTGTACCTGGGCTGGACCACGGACCGGCTGCTGCTGGGGTCCAGGCTGGGCGGCCTTGACCTGAACATTGAAGGTTGGCTGGCTCGGAGTAGAGGCGGTGGTGTAGGACGCTGGGACAGGCTGGGGCGCAGGCTGGTATTGGGGGCGTGGAGAAGATGAAGCTGGAGGAGGGATAGTCGAAGAGGCCTGCGGCTTCGGGGTGGATTTTTTAGTGGCGGTTAAAGGGGGCTGGGTTGGGATGACCATGCGGCGATAGCCCGTAACAGGGGCGTTGGAGCCTGTCGCAGCTGGGCTGGCAGAATTCTATAAGAAATAAACAGATAAATTAAGAGCTTTTAAAATGTTTTAAAAATATATATTTTTAAATAAATGAAAATGTAATGATGACATGACAAACTTTTTGAATGTTTTTAAATGAATCAATTTAAAAGTTAGTTTTATAGGCTGGCTGGTCGTTAACTAATGGTTGTTGATGATGGGACAGACATGTTACAATGAGAGGTGGTCCTAGTGAACATCAGGGGGCGTAGAACCTTCAAGCACCACAATTTAACCATCCCACATCTCACAGCGCAAGTACAGTAATTATGCAGCCTGTCTACTACAGATCGATCCACAGGGCAAGTGCAACAACCATCAGTTGCTCGTGCCCAGACCATATCCACTCATAAACTATGGCTAATAAAGCTTTGAGATTTAGAGTCAAGAGTAGGGTATAAATTAGTTTGTTAGACTGGACAGAGAGAAGTGATGGTCAGTCTGACGAGTGTAAAGACAATTGTGCTGATGCTAGCGGGCCGCATGGGACGGAGTCTAAATCAGAAAGATTTGTGTCCCTGGATTCCTGGGTGCTTTGGCTTGTAGCTCACCACAGAGAAGTCTATTCAACGTCCAACAATGGCTGTGTCACAGAGCCTGAGGACAGGCTTGATTTCTCTAGATGTAAAAAGATTATTGAAAATGAAAATAAGCACAAACCCAGTGACAACCATCAAAAGATCAAAATAAATCCTCGCTGTAGAGCATTTGGTGCTTTGTCTGATTGAATTAAAAGAGATACTTCCATTCTATAATATTTGGCTGATTTTATTCATCTATAGAAGGTTGTTCTGTCATAACTAACCAGCTAAATGGAGACCAAAGAGACTCTAATTTCATGATGAAACATTCAGTAATACACTTCATGATAGCACATCATTGCCTCAAGCAGAATTGCACGTTTCAAACACGTCTGTGAAGTGAATGTGCCTATAAAAAATGTTTTAATCTTGTGGTGATGCCCATCTCTTCATGAATTCAGAGAGGAAGTGTTTGGTTGTGCGGGGAAAGGCACCGTTGCATCATGTACTTTAGATGGGTTTCATGGTTAAGGTGGTTTGCTGAAGTAAGTGGGTCAGAAAGAATTTCTTGTCACCTACTGTTAAACGAAAAAAAAAAAAAAGTCAAACTAAAATGTGGGCAATTTCTTTAGAAAGCGTTGTTTTTGTTTTTGCGTTAAATTGGACTACAAATGACAAATGTATACATAGCGGTGTATTATACATATCTTGTAATTAATATTCAAAATAATGTGCTTTCACAATCTAGAATTATGCATGTTCTTCTCCATATTGCATATTCCAAAAATCTGAAAAAATATCAAGTACCAATAATTATGTTGGACAAATATATAAGAATTATCTTTGACAAAAAAAAAAATGTAATAAGTTAAAAGTTAAAACTAAAAATCAAATGAATCAAATTGACAAAGCATGGAAGCCAATAGTAAGTTATTATTATGAATCAACTGTTATTTAGTGTGACCTTGAATGAAATGAGAGTGAAGATCAAACATAATGTAGTTTCATTTTATTTTTGAAAAAAAAAAAGATTAACACACCATATTTTGCCAGCTTCAATAAGCAGAGGTTTTATACCTGATTTCTTGTACACCGTATTCAAAAATATATAAATTTGTTCATGACATACTGTATTGCTGTCTGCGCATATACTGTATAAAGAGGGCAGAAGTAAATGACTCCTCCAAGGTGACTGTGCCAGATACAATTACATATTAGAAAATCAAAGTCTAATAGTCTGTTTCAAATAGATCACCAGTGTTACATTCTCTATTATTGGCCTACAAACTAGCTGGCATTAACCTATGCTTTTCTTTTTAGGTTACTGCCTTAAGTCAGAGAATGAGAAATCAATTACTGTCTCCGTCACATGATGAGGAGAATGAAACTACATGCCTGAGGCAGAGGCTTGTTCTTTAAAGACATAAATACGGCCTGTTATTACTGCTCAAAACACTCTTGCATAGTCAGAAAGGGGATTGAGTGACACAGCGAGCGTGATGACCAATCAAGGTAACCAATCAAAGAGGTATATTAACCTAACAGAGCAAATAAAGATGAATGGCAACTCCAGCTCTTTGTCACGTTCCAAATTTACATTTAACAGCCCTCCTCGGGGAGCGGGGGGGATTCTTACAGAGTTCTGTCCTTAGTTTAACAGACAAAATCATCATGGATATGATTGTGTAAATGAAGGACAAACTGTATTTGACTTATCTTTATGTGTCTGAGCCGCAGCTACTGAAATAAAGAAAAATGATAGATGATGGCGAGTTTGTTTTCTTATTTTATCTCAAGAATAATACCTCAGGCTCCATGACACAAAAATTAGATAGACCCGAAAAAGGCCCCATGAAATATTTCACACTCTTAACTACAATTTTGCGTCTCAGTGATTAGGGCCGATGTATCTGTCTGCATGCAAATGTAAAATACCCTAAACGTGCCCTTCAGGAAGTGAAATTACTCAATTTAAATGTTTCATGCTATTTTAAATACTTGATATTATTAATTTATCTATAAAGACCTTAAACCCTAACATTTACTTAGCAGAAGGCTGGAAATGCAAATAGGACCCTCAAAATAATTATATTGTCATGGCAAATTATACACCCATTAGATTAGAGGAGAGGAAATCACTCCTTTATTTGAGGGTGAAATCATGGGTAGAAGAGAAGATTGGGTACATCACAGATTTCCTTGTGCAAACAAATTAAGAAAGTTCTGTTTTATGGAAGTCTTAAACTATGTCAGTGAAACCATGGAAATCTGTTCACAACTTCTGTGTGATACGTTGTGTGTGTTCAAATGAATAAAGTGACATGGTTGTAGCTTGAAAGTCAATGGGTTCGTGACTTTCATACTTTCATTTTCATAGATTCAAACTATGGGTGTCACAATAATATAACGCTACTGACGATAACTGCGATAAATTATTAACAATAGTACTCTATGTGCAGCATATACACAATATCATTTTTGTGTATTTTCATGGTTTCACTGACATAGACACTCCAACACTGTAGTTGGCAGTATTGCAATGTAATGCTGGTTTTAATCATGAAGCGAAAAAAGATGATGCAGCGTGTAGCTACTACTGTCAGTCAAAATGTCGGAGGACATGACAGGTGAAGGTGAGACATTCTATCTGCACTTGAAAAAAGTGTTTGGGGTTCTGTAAAACAAGATAAGGTGTTTGACACAATGTCTGCAGGAAGTGCAGATCAAGTTCTTTTTGTACGGTTACATTTACAAACGAATTTTTGAGTGTGATTCATTGGCCATAGAAAACACAAAAAGGTCAGATATAAGAATTTGACTAATAGATACTTTTTTTTAATTTCTAAAGATATTGCAATACTGTTGTAATTGTGAATAATAAAGCCATAATAAATGTGTGGAGAAAATATTGTATAATTACAACCCTATTACAAATGAAAAACTAGACGAAACATTATTCGCAATATATTATATACACTCTAAAAAATGCTGGGTTATTTCAACTCAAATTTGGGTCAAATATGGACAAACCCAAATGTTGGGTTAAAAATGCATTTAAAAAATGTACAGTTGAAAGTGAAAGTTCAAATTTGAAATTATCTTTTTGGTTACACTTTTGGTTACACTACATGTCAACAAACTCATTAGAGTATTAGTATATTATAGTAGACTGTCAGTAGACTGTTAGGTTATGGTTAGGTGTTAGGGTTCGGGTTAGGAGAATAAGATTACTTGTAGTCGCTAAGTTACTTATAGTCAGTTGAATGTCTGTTGGGGGACCAACAAACTAAAGTGTTATCAGATATTAAGCTGACAGTCAACTAATCCTCTAATTACAGTTAGTTGACATGCAGTTGAAAAGTTACTTATAGTTAGTATAATGTCTAAAGTTTTAACCCATTTTTAACCCAACATAACCCATATTTTACCCAAATTTGGATTCAAACAACCCAACATTTTTTAGAGTGTATAAATTACATGGCTTGGTTGAATTCTGAAGTAGAATGCATTCTGTTATTTCTTGATAACAGACCTCTACTAAGTATAACACACCGTAGCCATAAAAAACAGAGCGTTGCCATGGACACAGTTCTGTTCACTCTGGAGGATAAACTCCTTTAAATCAATAAACTCCTTTTTAAATCAATATTTTGTGTCAAATTATTTTTATTTATTTGGTAGGTATGTAGCCTAATAAGCGAGATAATGTAGAGCGATGCGGTTGTTATAGCGAATACAACCACTTCAGGCTGATCCTATATGTGACGTTATAATGTATAACGTTATGGTATATGTATGTAACCGTCACTATTTCATTTGTTTGCCAAACAATGGTCATTTTTGGGAAATTTTCACACATTCGCCAGTTACTGAGGGTTTCGGGTAACAAATCAACAACAGCTTTGGTGCTCTTACTGTATGTATCGTCATAATTGTTTCGAATGCTCATTAGTTTGCTGGCAAATGGGGGATTTCATGCGCGGGGAAAGCAGTCCATGAATCACTCGCCCAAGAGGAAAAATGTGCTGTCACTGCCAGATCTCGATCAACAAAAATAACACTGTATTTGAAACAGAACTGACTAAATCTAATGAAAACAACAGTCATAAATTAAACAATTTTCATTGTAATTTAATTTTCTCCATTTTACGAAAAAAGGGGTGATGAACTGAGAAATCAAATTTTCTTTGAGCTTTTGATATCGAAGAGGTCATCATATTATATGAATATCCTATAAGTTTCAGAACTGAAAACGGCCTTGTTAGTCCAATAAAAGCTTTTATTGACAGTAGGCTCAGCAAACGACTGGTTTTTCAAAGTGGGGAACTATGATGTCAAACAGGATAAAACACCACCCCCGCAGAAGAAGATCAACGCCTACTTCAACACAGCCGGTTTAGCCCCGCCCACCGATTCAGGCACTAAACGCATAGCTAAATAACATAGGCCTACCTCGTGATGACA